GTATACATGCATAAGGGTATATAGAGTGGGTATTAAACAAAGTGTATGAAAACAAGGTTCTTCTATTTGTGTCCATTGCCATGCTTAAGAGCTTCAAAACGGGCAGTGAGTGCATCATAGTCGGGCAGCTTAGGATGCACGCGCCTGGTTGGAATTTGTGGGGCCGGGCGGTTTGGCGGTCGATTCATACCATCATCATCATCATTCTCTTCCGATTTTTCTGGTGCTACATAGTTGTTGTAGCTATGTCTTCTCACGATTTTCGGTGGTTCCTCCATTTCCATCTCTTCATCGCAATCTGATTCATCAAATTTGATATCATAGCTCTGCCGCCTTCTCAACATCATCTTCTTCCTTCTCACTCTCTCATCATCATCATCATCATCATCATCATTGTTATTATTATTATTATTATTCTTATTATTATAGTTGATGACAGATGATGATGATGATGGGTTAGAAGCGGCTGCTGCTAGTGCTGCTGCTGCCTGAAGGGCTTTCTCAGCAGCCGATGCAAGCTCTCCAAAATTCATCACACTATTAATATTGCTATTTTTTTCTCCTCTGTACTTCAACAATGCAGCCAAAGAGAATGACAAGGTTGGAAGAACATGTAAAGTGAGTGTTCTTCCTCTAAAAATATGTGCAAAATTAAGTTTTCTCACGATTCTTCTACCACTATTCCTATTCACTTGTCTAGGTAGATTTATAATCATTTTAGTTTTGCAAAATCACATCAACTTTTAATATTACATCTCAAATCAAAACTTATCTTTTCACCTTTCACAAGTTTGAAATTTGTCCATCACTATTCCAGCAGAAACAAAAAGATTTCTTTTTTTTTTCGCTAATTTCGTGGTAAATTAAATAAATTTTCAGTAAACAAAAACTTACTTGTCTGGTAAGTTCATAGGCTCAGAATATTGCTGTTGGCCTGGTTTCAAAGGCATGCTTGCTGCACTTAAAAACTTTTCTGGTCCTTCCTACAGAAAAGAGTATAAACGACTAAGAGGCAACAACAAATGCATGCAGCATTATATAATCGTTGAGAAAAGAGAGAGGTTTAAGCATATACAATACGCTCTTCAGGTGGCTTCAGTAGCTCCTCCTCAGATTCTGCTGTATCCCACTCAACCTGGAATTCCTTGGCTATTTCCTTCAAAACTTTCATTTTTATTTCACCAGATGGAGTCTTCACAGAGAGCTTCTCAATAAGCTACCAAAAAGGTACAACAAATTATACGTAAACTATTGACTATCATCAATTCATCTTAATACAAAAAGAAAAGAACCAGAAATTTTCACATTAAGATTCACAAATACATACCATGCGATTTACGCCAGCATTCGGTCGTAAATCGGTTGCAGCAGAAACAAAATCCTTTCCATATTTCTTCTGAAAAACGTCACGAATAGACAACAGCTCTGGGATATCTGAGCATCGAGGAGCAGCAAATATCAAACTCGATATACCTTCTTTAAGGTCTGCAGGACATTCCCTGCAAAAAAAAGGTGATACACCACCAGCAAACGAATTTCGACTCATCATAACAGGATCAAGCAGCAGGATATCAAATGAACACAAAGAGATTCGTATGGACAACAATCAAACCTTTGCTTTGCAATGATAGAGAGTCTGGCCACAACTAGCTCACAGAAAATTTCAATCAACTCATTTGCAGCCATAATATTCTGTTCTCTTATCACATGTTCAATCTATAGAACCACAAAAAATGTAGGTTAAGATGAGAAAAAGCATTGGCTGCTAATAAATATGACTATGCAACCAATTTGGATTAATTAAATAATAAAAGGCACCAGTAACATAGTTAGTTTCACCAAGTACAGAATAATGATGCAATAAATCACTAATCGTAATAAAGTAAACTAAAAGGTGATAGTCAAGTAGGTTTCTTGACAGGTTTGGGATACCAAAAATTTGATTATGTAACAAAGTGAATAAAACTAGTTTCGGACTTCAGAGTATCGGATCTGAATAATAATCAACTCCATCAATTATTGACTACCTTGACTAGAAACACGTCACCGAATAACTTTCTCTATGATTAAGAAGAAACGAAGAATGAAGTTTATATAAATTCGTTAACAGAGAAATAACACAACTACAAACAAGTTAAAGCTACGCAAAAAGTTGCAACGAAGTCAACCAAATATGACGATTAAGGACAAAACAAGGCATATGATTCAACATTGCCAGTTATTTCGTGTGATGTAATGCATTTGGAGAAAGGATTTACGATCTGAATTCATGATTTCTCTCTTTAGTAGGGAGAACCAAGTAAGCTACACATTTTGGTCGATTGGTGTTCGAAGAGTTTCAATAAAGGCTTATGCTCAACAGTCATCCAACTTAAAGAAGACAATTAATTTCAACAACAAATAGTGCATCACATTTTCTAAAACATATATGCTCTATGCATCCTACCCATTTCTGAAACCAATTGCTACAAGATTTTGGAATTAGTTTGGTACATAAGTCGTAAGGCCCACTAAAGAAAATAAAACAATAATAATAAGTCAAGGAACAGTTTGGCCCCTAAATTTTACCAAATTGCAGCAAATGCAAGAGTTAAATTACGAAAGATAGTAATGTCAGGTATTTCCTCATCTTTCACGAATTGGACACATCTCTCTCCCAACACACGAAGAATTAGATAAAGAAAGTAGACAAGCTAATAACAAGAAACAAAATTAAGGTACGACATAAAAGAAAAAAAGAAAAAGGTACTCGAATGCGAGCAGTGGCATCTTGACGAGATTCGAGAAGCATAGCAATGTCACGCCTCATCTGTCTAATCACCACCTCTCTCTTGTTCCTCAGCAATTTCACTCTCGCAACCGCCATTTTCGCCATTGTTTTGCTGAAACCGATTAAAAAAAAAAGAATGGATGAAATTGGATTGGATGATTGAAAGAAACAATTGAAAGGGATGATAACTAAAGAAAGAAAGGGAACCAACCATTTAGAGGGGTTAAAGGGTGAGCGGAAGAGCGAGACAATACCCATTTGGAACACCTTTTTCCAGGGTCGACGGCCGGCGCTTCTCAGAGTCATTTTCAGTAGCTGCTTATGTATGTAAGAGGCAGCGGATTGTCTGTGAGAAAGCAAGAAAGAGATGCGAGCACAACGGTCAATTATTCATCATCATCGCTTTTAAATATAAAATAAATGGGGTGCAAGCCAACGTGGCAGCATTTGGACATTTTGGGAAGTGGGATTTCTGGGGGAAAGAGCCGTTGAGTTGATCACGACTTGTAATTTTCAAGGAATCCAATGCGCAATTGCATTAGCTACTCAATGTAGTGTTTAGCGTGTAGACGGAGATTAGTCTTATTACTACTGTTAAAACAAATCACAAGGTTCTAAAAATCGAACTGGTCATCGAATCGCTGAAGCTACCGATTCAATGGTTCATTGATTGACAAGTAGGCGAATCCGTCGGATCGATTTAATTAATATATAATTTTTTATATATTTTATATATATAATATATAATTATATATTTTTATCATTAATCTATTACTATATAATATAATTAAGAAAAAATTCGAAAGTAGAAAGTTTTTTCCGCTTTTTTTTCTCGTTTTTTTATCTTTTCTAGTAAATTTTTTTGAATTTTTTTTGAATTCCCACCTATGCCAATTAAATTGTGCAGATTAACTTTTTCTAATCTTTTGAATTTGGATGTGAATGCAATCCGATTTTAATTCTTTTTTTTCTAACCAAAATTAGTTCATAACTTCATATCCAACCAAATAGGCAATGACCAATCCAATCCGATTTTAGTTCAGTTTCCAACCAAAATTAGTGCACATATTGTTAACCAATCAATTTCAATTCCACTTCCTTTTTTTTGCCAATCAATTCTATTTTTTTTTTTTTTTTATATTTTTATTTTATTAATATGTTTGAAAGAGAATCAATAAATGTTTATCATAACTTTTATTTTAAAAATAAATTTGAATTATCATACCTTTTACTTTATATGAAATTGAAAATTACATGTTTTAATATATTAATAAACGACTATTATTTATTTTTTCCTTATATGATATAATCGAAATTAGGTATTAAATTTTAAATTCAAACATATAAAGAAAAAGATCCTAAGCAATTTATTTTGGGTAAATTTCATTTTATCTTGATTTTTATATAATCACATTCCTAACAAACTAATTAATATTATATTTTTTATCTACATTATCTAACCGATCTTTTAATGATACAATTAATATAATATCTTAACTAATTAATCATTTATATAACCGGATTTATCTCTCTAACAAATTTGCCAATTTTTTTTTTAAATTAAAATGGTATGATTATTCTTATGGAGATACTTATCAAAATATTAAACATTTATAAAAACTTTTTAAAAAAATTAGTTATCCCTCCTTTTACATTATTTTAAATTTTGGTTATATTTTTAAATATATTATTATTTATTTTTTTACATGTAAATATTTATTATTTATAATCTAAGTGATAGATATTATTGATTTATCTCTTTAATAAATGTTTATTATTTATTTTTTTCCTTACATGATATAATTTAAATTTGGTTATTAGAATTTTAAATTCAAAAATTTAAAGAAAAATATATAAGCAGATTTTTTGGGTAAATTTTTTTTTATCTTGTTTTTCATATAATCACATTCCTAACAAACTAATTAATATTATATTTTTTTATCTACATTATCTAACTGATTTTTTATGATATAATTAATATAATATCTTAACTAATTAATCATTTATCTAAGCATAATTATCTCTCTAACAAACTTGTCAATTTTTTTGAAATTAAAATGGTATGATTATTCTTACGGACATACTTACAAATATATTAAACATTTAGAAATTTTTTTTTAAAAAAATGAGTTATCCCTCCTTTTACTTTATTTGAAATTCTAAGTTTTATTTTTAAATATATTATTGTTTATTTTTTCTTACGTGTAAATGTTTATTACTTATTATCTAAGTGATAAATATTATTGATTTGTCACTTTAATAAATGTTTATTATTTATTTTTTTCCTCACGTGATATTATCTAAATTTGGTTATTAGATTTTTAAAATCAAACATTTAAAGGAAAAGATCACAAGCATATTTTTTGGGTACATTTTATTTTATCTTAACTTCCATATAATCATAATCTTAACAAACTAATTAATACAATTACATTTTTCTAACTGGATTTTTTAAAATATAATTAATATAATATTTTAACTAATTAATCTTTTGTCTAACCGAATTTATCTTATTAACAAACTTGCCAAAATTTTTGAAATTAAAATAGTAAGATTATTCTTACGGGTATACTTACCAGAATATTAAACACTTTAAAAACATTTTGAAAACAAATTTGAATTATTCCGTCTTCTATTCTATTTGAAATTCAAAATTAAATTTTTAAACATATTCATAAATATTATTATTTATTTTTTCCTTATGTGGTATAATCTAAATTTGGTTATTATATTTTTAAATTTAAACATTTAAAGGAAAATATCACGAACATATTTTTTGATTATATTTCATTTTATCTTAACTTCCATATAATCATAATCCTGACAAACTAATTAGTATAATATTTTTTTACCCATATTTATATAATCGGATTTCTTAAAATATAATTAATATAATACTTTAACTATTTAATCATTTGTATAACTTGATTTAACTTATTAATAGACTTGCCAATTTATTTTTAAATTAAAAAATCTGGATGATTTTTATTTTTAAAATAATAAAAAATAGCTTTACTTTAAAGTCTGGATTCTTTCCATCATTTATTGTACGTTAACAATCATATATTGGATAATTGATTTAAAAAAAAAATCAAAACCGTAAGGTTTAATGATATTTCTTAAATAAAAGATATTGTATAAAGAGAAGTGTTTAATAATATATATTTTTCATTGTTTGTATTTATTTTATTTTCATAATAGACGAGATGTGAAAATTATAAATAATTATATTTAAAATAAAGTCTAAAAAATGGTTTAAGATATGAGTTCCTTCGTGCATCGCACGGAATATACACTAGTTTTATAGTATATAACGACATTTGTCTAAATAATAAAGGAAAAAATAAATAAAAAATCATGTATATTTTAATTATTTTAGCTATTTAAGCTTATATATAATTTGCTTATAAACACCTAGAATATTTTCTAATTAGTAATTATTCCTGTGTGGCTTATACCCAGTAGGTTTTCACTTCCAGTACAATATTGCATTATATGGGTTTTAATAAAGGCCCAATTATTTCAGCAAGTTATTAACTCCCACATTGGAAGCAGTAAGAAAAGAATTCACTTTTTTATATGATACTACAACCATCCTTATCTATATATATATAATTGCTAGCTAAGCAATAAATTTTACTTAATAAATAAAACCTAATAAATTTTACCTATGTGGCAAATCATTAATAAAACTTAATAAATAGAACCTAATAAATTTTATTTATGTGGCATTAATACACCCAATCTCATTAATAAGAAAATATTTCATTACATTTTTTTGGTTAATTAAGACAAAAACCATTATATTTTATGTTAATTGATTAATAATTATATTTTTATTGAATAATATAATAGTTAATATTAAAATTAGTAATTATATTTTATACTAAATAATATATGAAAGTTACATAAAATCATATTTTACACTAAAATCAATATTTTTTTATATGATGAAGATGTTGTTTATTAATAAATTAATTTTTTTATGTTATCGTAAAATTTCTTAAAATCACATAAGCAATTGTTATAATAAATGTAATATTTTTCAGCTAATTAATTGGTTATGATCACTCAAAATTATAAAAAGTATATATTTATTGCATTTTATGCAATCAATATAGTGATTCGTATACAATCAAATCGTGTGTACCATTTATTTTAACCAATGATCAACTATTATATAATTTATAATTTTAATATTATATACATAAAAATAACTTATAATACTATATGTTTGAAATATAATACAATTATATAACTTATAATTTTTATATTATATACATAAATATAACTTATAATATTTAATTTTATTTACATCTATGCAAATGCACAAGGTCGAATACTAGTACAAAGAAACAAGTGGACCGTTGGTCCGCAGAAATCGTCAACGGCTTGACCGGTTGCTAACCAGTTCGAACGATTTTAAGCTGGTTTTGTGCCCCAGCAGTTTTGTCCCTCAAACCGGACCGGTATATTGGCCGGTTCCCTGTCCAATCGGTCGAACCGGCCGGTCCGGTCCAGCTTTGATAACCTTTTTAAAATTGCTAAAACTGCGCCAACCCGTTAGCCCCCAAAATTGGAAAGGCCTGGGCCTGTATTTGGCAATCTGTTTACCTGCGGGCTTATTTGCTTTGCGGGTCAAATCGGGCCGGAACAGACTGCCCGCGGGCCGGCTTGTTTTCTTTTATTTATTGATTTATATATTGACTAGTACATTGTCACGCGACGATTATAACTAATAACAGTGAAAGAATATCGTTTAGTATAAAAATAATTTGAATTATCTATATATATATATATAATAGTTTGATTATTTTTTAAATAAAAATTGTTTTCTGCAAAAAAAAAAATCCCTAATACTAATTTTGGAAATAAATTAATAAAATTGTGGTATTGTGTTGACAAATTAAATGAGTTCTTATTTGGTATATTGTGGGCGAATCAAATAATTTTATTTATGTAAGCTGATTAACGAAAAATGCATCACATAAAAGAAGACAGAAATAAATTAAATAACATTCCATTCTAGTATTAAACACTTTTAAAAAATACAAAAATCAGCACAACACCAATCAAAACAGTCTGTCCAAGCTACCTCATCACACGGTATCCACTCTATGCGGTAAACATTGTGCACCGTATGGAAATGCTTTTATGAAGGAAATCTGCAAAAATTTCCATTGGTTTTTTTTTTCTCTCTCCCCCTCGTTGTGCCCTTATCCCTTTCCCTATCGTCCCCGTTTCGAGCTTTCTCGCCTTCCTCGGCGAATAGCCGGCTCTCTTATCGGCAGATGGCCTAAAATCACTCTCCCTTGTCCCGATTTTGCGACTGCTCCAAGATATTCGCGCCATCAGAGGTAGGAGAATGCCCGGC